TTGTGTGCTAAACCCTCAGTGCACTGAAAGAGGCGACCTACTTTAGCCTACAGTGACCATCTCAAGTGACCTCAAGGAGAAACCAAGCCAAGAAGAACTGGAAAACCATTTAGGCAGAGGCATGCAGGCAACATTTTTTAACAATCGGGTATTATAGAAACAATGTTTTTTAAAAAATTTTTGTAACGTTTATTTATTTTGAGAGACAGAGAGAGACAGAGCATGAGCAGGGAAGGGGCAGAGAGAAAGGGAGACACAGGATCTAAAGCAGGCCCCAGGCTCTGAGCTGTCAGCACAGAGCCCGATGTGGGGCTCAAACCCACAGACTGTGAGATCATGACCTGAGCTGAAGTCGGATGCTTAACCGACTGAGCCACCCAGGCGCCCCAGAAACATAATGTATTAAGATACAGTATGGAGGGGTGCCTGGGTGGCTCAGTTGGTTAAGCGTCTGACTCCAGGTCGGGTTATGATCTCACACTTCGTGGGTTTGAGTCTCGTGTCAGGCTCTGTGCTGACAGCTCAGAGCCTGGAGCCGGCCTGGGATTCTGTGTCTCCCTCTCTCTCTGCTCCTCCCCAACTTGTGCTCCATCTCTTTCTCTCAAAAAATGAATAAACATTAATAAACATTTTAAAAATGTAAAGATTATAGAAAATGTATGTGACTATATGGAAATCAGTAAACCTTAATTTTTACAACTGAACACATTATACCTTATGATTCTACCTTGGAGGATCGGTTGCAAGCACATGTAACCTCAGTAAGACAACGAATAAAGCATTTACTACCCTATTCTGAGGTTCCTTTTTTTTTTTTTTTTTTTTTAGTTGACACACCCTGACCCACTGAGTCAGAAACTCGAGTTAGGTCCAGAAATCTGTGTTTTTTATAGCAAGTCATCCAGGAGATTCTGATGCATAGGAAAGTTTGAGAATCAGTGGGTGATTTTAATGTGTCCCCAGAGTTGAAAACCACTAGGTTCATTTAGGGAGCTCTATTTTTGTTGTCGTTGTTGTTGTTGTTATTATTGTTGTTAAATAAGTCATAAAAAGGGGAGTGTTGAGTTTAGTCACTTCTTTAGTGGTGGCTTATCTCTTCCCTGCTGAGACCCAGAGTTCGGGATGTAGGCATCTGGTCCCTACTTCCTTTTTGGAAAGGGAACATGACCTACCCATTCTTTGAACGTCTTCTACATACATAAGGGAGAACAAGATGGTGCACTGGGTGGCTCAGCCAGTTAAGCATCTGACTTCAGCTCAGGTCATGATCTCACGGTTTGTGGGTTCAAGCCCTGTACTGGGCTCTGTGCTGACAGCTCAGAGCTTGAAGTCTGTGTCTTCCTCTCTCTCTGCCCCTCCCCTGCTCACATACTCTTTCTCTTTCAAAGACAAATAAAACATTAAAAAAAATTTTTTTTTAAATAAAAGCAGGGGAGGGGAAGAGAGACAGGGAGTCACAGAATCCGAAGACAGTCTCCAGGCTCTGAGCTAGCTGTCAGCACAGAGCCGACGCGAGGCTCAAGCCCATGAACCGTGAGATCATGACCTGAGCCGAAGCCGGATGCTTAACCGACTGAGCCACCCAGGCGCCCCAATAAACATTTTAAAAAATTAAAAAAATAAGGGAGAAGAAGGCAAATATTGTCACAATTAATATTCCTGCCCAATCTGTCTTATTAGTAACAGCAGTATCAGAGGAGGCCAGCCCCCAAACCTGTTCAGGGCATCCCTGACCAACTGTATTTTGAGACTTTACTGATATGCAGAGATGTCAGGCACAGGTTTCCCTAGCTGTTGCTTCATGAGCTCCATATACGCCAGCTTGATACCCTGCAAACATAAGGCCTTTTCCTTGGGTCTTGGCCCATTCTCCACAATCCTAATCCCAGAGGAATTAATTTCTCATTTTGGGGTAATAGAATAGTTGTGGGAAGTGGGTGGAGTGGGAACTTCTAGAAATCACAGCTTTTATTGAATGCACTTTCTCTCATTTTCAGCCTACTCTTTCTGTTCACACTCTCGGATGTTGTATCCGGCAACGGGTAACCTGCTCTGTTGTGGGTCAACACAGCGAACGGCCGCGATCTTCCAGATGATGCCTGAACACTGCATCCTCCTTCCGGGGTAAACGAACTTGGAGGATAAAGTCTGGCTGGAAAACCCTACCCTTCCTGGAAGGAGAGGTGGGGGGAGGGGGGAGAACTACAACATGTCCCATGATCCTATTCTTCTCTCACATCTGGAGGAATCTGGGACCCATATGAGTCAGCTCCTGCCTCGTGAGGGGCCACAGAAGAGGAGAGAGACCAAGGGCAGGTGGACACTTGCCAGAGGCTGCCGGTAGCTCCAACGGCATGTCTCTCTCTGGCCTGTCCCTCTTGATTTCTAAATACATCAGTCACATGTACGGGCCTCCTCCTCCCCCCCCCAGGATGCGCTCTGGTCCTCACTAGGTTATTACTACCCTCCTCACTCCTATCCATCTCGGCCTTCAGGGCTCTTGCTGGCAACACCGTGGGGTTTCTCTGTGGTTCCTTCCAAGTCTGCTGGGCTAAGCGAGATGTCTTGGATTTATTAAAATCAGCCCCATATTGGAGCCAGATGCTGCACAGCAAATGATGTGGTCGGGATGAAGCGAAGAATCAAGCGGGGCAAACAAGGAGGCTCCGGCGACGAAGGACGGTCTTCCTGGGCCTTGCTGAAAAGCCTCCTGTATTGCTCCTTCTCTCCTCCCAAATCAAACATTTGCTGACGCGTTTTTGTAAACTTCCGCGTCTCACTCTGGGACCAGCAAGCCGATGTTTGTTGGGCTGCTGCTTCCAAGCCCTCTCTGTGGACGGGGCGAGGCGGACGGAACACTGGAGTCCTGCAAGTGTGAGGCCAAGGCCTTGCTGTAGGTCTCAGACCTCGTGGTGGCCACGGGGGGCGGGCTGGCCCTGGCAGAGCTGGCGGTCCAGCTAGTGGGGCAGAAGGAGCAGGCGGACACTCAAGGCTTTTCTCTTTCCTAATTGTAAGAGTTATATGAATAATCCTAACAGGGGCGCCTGGGGGGCTCAGTCAGGATGCGTTCGACTCTTGACTCTTGGTTTCCGCTCAGGTTGTGATCTCACGATTCACGGGTTTGAGCCCTGCGTCAGGCTTCGCGCTGACAGTGCACAGTCAGCTTGGGGTTCTCTCTCACCCTCTCTCTCTCTCTCTCTGTCCCTCCACTCATGCTGTCTCTCAAAAAAATTAAAAAACAAACAAAAAACATTAAAAAATAATCATAACAATAATTAGGATAATCATAGTAATGGTAATGATAAATCACTGTGAGAAATTGTATTATCATCTCATTTAAAGCTTCCCAACATCCCCTGAGCAGGTGCTTTGGCGTTATTATTATTATCGCCATGTGTCCTTGAATACAGAAATTCAGAGATGTCTCTGTGCACCAGGGATAGAATTGGGATTTGAACTTGGACAGCCTGATTCCAGAGGCAACACTCGTTTTTGTGTGCGTGTGTTTTTAAGATAGTGAGAGATAGAGAGAGAGAGCAGGGGAGGGGCAGAGAGAGAAAGAGAGAGAGGGAGTCCTAAGCAGACTCTACGCTATCAACGCAGAACCCTACAAGGGGCCCCATTGCACAGAACCCTGAGATCATGACCTGAGCTGAAATCAAGAGTCCGAAGCTTAAGCAACTGAGCCACCCAGGCGCCCCTAGAAGCTATACTCTTAAAGGTCAGGTGACAGGTGCAAGGGATACATGTTTGTTAAAGAAACTATGGAAAACTCAGGTAAGTAATTTACCATCCACAGTTGGCTTATGTGTTTCCAGTCATTTCTCTGTGCAAACACATTCACATTATAGAGAATATTTGCTGTAAATCGAGTCATATGGTACTTGCTGTTTTATACATTACTTTTGCCATGTAATTTTCCTAAACGTCTTTGTCATTAAAAAAAGTCTTCTGCGTGCTCATTTCAGCGGCTGCAGAGAACCCCATTCCATGTGCAACCACAGTTTATTTGACCAATTCTCTCCTATTCAACACTTAAGTGGTTTTCCGGGTTTTCACTATTATAAGCAATGCTTACCGTCCAACAACATTAAATCTTAGCATTCAGCCACAGTTATTTCCTTAAGATAAACTCCAGTACTGGATTTACTGGAGGAAAGGGTAAGAAAAAAGGTTAAGGTGTTTGATACCTATCACCAAACTTTCCTCCTCCAATCTCCCTTAGGATGAATGGATGTTTTTTCTACACCTTTTCCAGCACTGGGTTTTTACTATTTAAAACAAACATCGTTGCCGGGGTGCCAGGGTGGCTGGGTCCTTTGACTTCAGCTTTGGTCATGATTTCAGGGTTGATGAGGTTCAAGCCCAGGGTTGGGCTCTGTGCTGACATCACGGAGCCTGCTTGGGATTCTCTCTCCCTCTCTCTGTGTCCCTCCCTGACTTACATGTTTTCTCTCTCTCTCAAAATAAATAAACTTAAAAAAATAAAATAAAAAACATTGTTGTCAATTTAAGAGGTCAGCATTTTGGTTCACATTTCTTGGCTCTGCTGTTTGAGCTTTATTCTTGTGTGTTTGTTATGGGCTCGTGTCTGGAGGGGAACAGTGATCTTGCATCCGGGAGCCTTGCACGTGATGTTTCCCAGTGTGAGCTCCGTGCCATTGGCAGCAAAAGCCGAATTCTAGAGACTCTGGACCCACTGCCTCTTTCTTGTCTACATCAGGAGCCCACAAACGCTGTTCACGGAGGCAGATAACATCTGCAGGGATTGCCCAAGATCCCAGACAACTGAGCCAATCCATCCTGTCACCAAAGAGAGGGACGAGGGTGCTGACGGCCCTACACTCACAGATGTCCCCATGACTGTCTGGTGTGGCTATTATGAGTTCAAGCTCTGCAGTCAAGACCTGGGTCTGAAACCTGGAGGTGTTGTCCCCCACCTCCCCTACCCCCCACCCCCTCACCGCAAGCCTTTGTTCATTCAGCAGTAAAATGGGTGATAATCGAGTGCGCATTTCACAGGTTGGGAGGACCAGCCAATGAGATCATGCAAGGTAGGCACTGGGCACAGTGCTAGCAGAGAGTACATGCTCAATAAATCTTCATCATTATGATTCTCATTCAGTTGTGAGTATCTGGGGCAGAGGGAGGGCTTCAAGGGAGGTTTTTGAGTGAGAAACAATAATACAAATGTTCACTTGCTTGAAATGCTCATGGACACTCAATCAACCTTGTCATTTCTGCAAAGAGAACTCATTAGAAGTCCATTTTATTCTCTTTATTCCCATCTGCAACCAGGCCTGCCCAGGGGAGCTCAGTGACTAGAAGTTTTGGCAGGGGCCTGCATGAGCCACAGGACTGGGGTCTGGCCCCTCTGCTTCTGGGTCTGAGATAAAGTGCCCTGCAGGGTCCTGGACTCCTGAGAAGACCTGTATGCAGATATGGACTTGGTGACTTAGCACTATCAATGGCAGAAAGTTGCTGGTGAGTTACATTTGAGCTGGCAAGGCCCGGGCCACTTCAACTTGGACATTCCCATCAGTCATAGGCGGGGGGTTGGGGAGTACTGACGCAGACACGGGGTATTGATGGTGGGGTTTTATTTTTCTGACTCAGAATTTTTTGGTACAGATTGTTACAAAGCAAGCCTCATGGAAATTGTCAATGAATTTCTTTTGTTGGAAAGTATGAAAGTAAGTAATACCGGGGCACCTGGGTGGCTCAGTCAGTGAAGCTTCCGAGTCTTGGTTTCAGCTCAAATCCCAATCTTGTGGTTTGTGAGTTCAAGCCCTGCATCAGGCTCTGCTGACAGCATGGAGCCCGCTTGGGATTCTCTCTCTGCCTCTCTCTCTCTCTCTCTCTCTCTGCCTCTCCCTTGCTTGCTCTCTCTCTCAAAATAATAAAAAAATTTCTTTAAAAAGTATGTAACACTGTGTCTGCCCTGAAAAGTCTGACATGTGAAGTCTGTTCCCGTGTACTTTCAATTTCCTACCCTGCAGCGCTGCACAGGGTCTGGCACACGGTGGGCACACAGCCAGCTCTTGTCGGGCTCCACTGTTTCTATCTCAGCAACTTCCTTAAACCTTGCTGAGCCTCAGTTCCTTTATCTGTGAAATGGGGAGATAATTCCCACCTATTTGCAAGCAGTTCAGAGGGTTCAATAAGAGATAATGAGCAGATACCCAGCATGGGGCCTGGGTCACAGCAAGTGTGCAGGAAATGTTTACTAAATGAAAGTGCTGTCAAAAGTTGGAAACAACCCGAGGGGCCATAAGTGGATGAACAGATAAACAAAATGGGGTCCGCCCACACAGTGGCCCATTCTTTAGCCTTAAAAAGGATTGCAATGCTGATACATCCTACATGGATGAACCTTGGAAACATTGTGCTCAGTGAAAGAAGCCAGACACAGAAGGCCACATACTGTATGGTTTCATTTACATGAAATGTCCAGAATAGGCAAACCCATAGGGACAGAAAGCAGATTCGCGGTTGCCAGGGAATATGGGGCTTCCTCCTGGGGTGATGAAAATGTTCTGGAGCCAGAGAGTGGTGACGGCTGTACATTAGGCATGTACTAAGTGTCACTAATAGTACAGTTTATGTCATGTGTATTTTACCACAATAAAAAGAAATGGAAGACTTTATTCCAAGTGCTCCTTTAAAAAAATTTTTTTTAACGTTTATTTATTTTTGAGAGAGAGAGACAGACAGAGCACGAGTGGAGGAAGGTCAGAGAGATCAAGAGACACAGAATCTGAAGCAGGCTCCAGGCTCTCAGCTGTCAGCACAGAGCCCAACGCAGGGCTCAAACTCACAAACTGTGAGATCATGACCTGAGCCAAAGTCGGACACTTAACCAACTGAGCCACCCAGGCGCCCAAATGCTTCTTGAATTTCACCAAGTGAAGTCCAAGTGCTTCTTGAACTTCATTACCATTCATTACCATTCATTCATTCATTCATTCATTCATTCATTCAACAGTCACTTGTGCAGTGTCAGGCAGAGTGGGAGCCGATGCTGAAGCCTTTCGCTGAGGCTTCATCACCCGTGAAGGATAGGAAGGAGGCGCACTGACAGCTGGAAGTAAGATGTCTGTCCCTGAAGCTTAGCTCTGGTTTTCAGGATTTGTCCTGCAGACAAAGGGCAGCCTGACCGCCTGCAGCAGCTGCTGAGGGACTCATTCTCTCTGACCCATGCTCCCTGAGTCCCATTATAATCTTTACCTGGGGCTTCCTTCCAGCCTTCATAACGTATCTATTCACTGACTCACTGAGGCACTTGGCAGAGGGCGGGCATGGGGTGAACGGCCTCAGGTAAATGCAGTAGCTGTGCATTCAGCTCATCATGAACCAGGCACGTGACATGCATCCCTGTCTCTCATGTTGATACTGTCTCCATTTTTACATGTCAGCAACCTAAGGCCAGAGAGGACAATTTGCTGGTCCAAGGTCACACAGGTGGGACATACTGCTGCTATTCAAGCCTGAAGAGCAGACTCAGGGACAGACTTGGAAAAGTGGGCACTTGGGAGAGGGGTCGGGCTTGTTCTGTATGACCCCGAAGGGAAGTCTCTGGTTCTGTGCTTGTACCTCCTTGACCTTTACATGGCCAGTGGGGTTTCAATAGATCACAGCAGGAGACTTGAGGCAAAGGATGAAACAGAAGGGTCTGTGAGGGCGAGAGGCATGGATTCACACACATCCTTACACTGCTGATAATGTTGGCTGTCTGGGCCTCACTCTTCTCATCTGTAAAGTGGGATACAGTGATCATAGCAAGCCCCTCTGCTTCACTCTGGCTTCCAGTGGCTCCCTAGCTTGAAGGATCAGGTCAAGTCCTTTAGTGCAGGCCTAGAGGCTCCTGCACATTCAGGCTCTGCTCTCCTCTCTGGCTGCCTGTCTCATCAGAAGCAAGCTGTCCCACGGGCCACAAATGCTCCAAATCCTCTTAGTCCTTCAGGTCCTTGCACATGCTGCCTCCTGGATTAGTCACTCTGTTGAGCTTTCCTGGGTGAGAGAGAATAGGGTGGCATTTGAACCCAGGCATGGGGGAGTTTCCATGCTGATCATTGCAACAGCATGCCCAGGGGGCCCGTGTCCCCCACAGGTGAGCATCCCTACTACGCATGTCTGAGAGGGAAAAAGTTGAAACCTTGCCAGGGAGGGCGAATCTGGGGTGGACTGACTGGACACGGGTGGCCCCGTCCCCCCCTAGGTGGGCAGAACCACCTGTCTTCTTCCTCACCGCTTAGTCTGGCCCCTGCCCAGGTGGGCAGCAGGTGCTCCAGGGGCCGGGTGGGCAGGAGAAATCCAGGTGGGTGCGGAGAGAGAAGGCGACGAGGTGGTTGCGTTCAGGGTTCTGACCAGACAGACAGACGTCGAGCCCACGGTTTCCACACTAACCAGCTTATTCCTCAGGGTCAAGTGTTAAGGAGCCCGGGGCGGGCATTGCTGGGAAACGCAGCTCACACCCCAGCGTGCAACCGGGACTTCAAGCTGGAGGTTGAGAACGCAAAGGCTTATGGGTCCTGGGGAGCAATTATAATGAATGGAGTCACAGCAGTGGCCCTCTTGGCCTGCTGCTTTCTCACTTTGGACAGAAATGGATACGCAGACATGTCTCAGCTGGAGGTAAAATATCAGTGCCAGCGCTGTGCTAAATGCTGCCTTGGCATTGGAGGGGACAGGGGGCGTGGCCTGGGCGTGACCAAGGGGCGTGGCCAGAGGGCGGCCGCCTTCCCCCAGCTGCAGGCCCGTGTCCCTGTGGGAGTGAGAGCCCCACATCGCCAGGAGCGGGTGCTGTCAGACCCCGCCCCACCCCCCACTCATTCTGCATACTCACACTAAACTCTGGAGACCTCCAGCTGCCTGCATCTCTGGGCCTGACAGGCGTGTTCCAGAATTCTGGAATGTTCTCCCAGCAGGGCTGTGCTGGGGAACGAATACCTCCTCCCCCAAAAGCAGCCTTCATCCAAAGACTGACAAGGACTGGTGTAGGAAGAGTCCAGGCTGCCTTTCCCCCTGGGGTGGAATTGGGCATCTGCTCTGTATGGTTTCCTGGACGGATTCTGCTCCAATTGCCCAGGGGAGTAGCTGGCTTAACAGCGCGCCCTGTGACAGAGACTGGCTGTCTCACTCCCCTCCTCCCCTGCGCTGTCAGCAGGTCCCGAATCAACCCTTTGCTCTCTAACCCTTGTCTCCACATCAACGCCGGGTTACTTAAATTAGGACACCTGACTTTCAAGAGGAGGTAGAAATCTGGTGTGTGTGTGTGTGTGTGTGTGTGTGTGTGTGTGAAATAAAATCCCTTACTTTTTACATGTTGGCTTCTAATGCCAATTGTTAAAAACAAAACCAGATGCTGCGTGGGCCACACGTCCACAGGGTGGATTCGGTCCAGGGCCAGTGGTGTACGGGGCTCTGCGAGCACCAGGCCTGGCCCGAGCCTGCACGCCCCGAGTTCTTGGACTCTGCTGCCGTGGCTATCCTCATGGGTGTTCTCTTTAGCAACTCGGCTGTCTTCCTCCCCTGCATCTCATGAGGATGTCCCCTCCTGTTGTCACTCCCCCCACGCCCCTTCCTTCCTCCCTTCTTTCTCACGGCCTGGTGTTCCTGGGCAAGCCTCTCCTGCTGGGCCTTTACTACTCGCTGGTTCTTCCAATAAACTGCGCAGTAGCGTTTAGCGAGGGGTTTACTAGCTACTGGAGGATTACCCCTCCAGGGAACCTGTTTACTGTGGGTAACCTTTGTCCAGCTGTTTCAAAAATGGTTCCTTTAAGAGTTACCTCCAAGGGCAGATCAAGGGTGTCCTGTGGTGTTTATGCCTGGCCTGCTTCCCCAGGGTCCCTGCATTCTGTGGGGGTCACCACACCTTTCTGGAAATGCTGCAGAGGCCTTGCAGGTGCGGGCCGTTAAGGAAGCCAAGGGCTAAGGGTTTCAGGTGACCAGGAGATTTTACAATAGCACACGGATGCCTTGGGGGGTGAACTTGGACCCACAGTGACCCCCCCCCCCCGCCCCCAGGCTGCTACAGTTTCCACAGGCCAAATCTTGCTCCTGGCCAGCAGCTCCATGAGGATGGTGTGAAAGCAGGATGGGGCCCTGAAGCTTATTCCTGAACCTTTTCTTCCTACCCTCTTCACCCACAACCTTGTCTGCTTATCATGACTTTTAGTCCTACCTGCATATATTTGCAGGTTTCCAATGGCTACAAAGTGTTTTTTATTAACATTTATTTATTTTTGAGAGAGAGAGACAGAGCATGATTGGGGGAGGGGCAGAGAGAGAGGGAGACAGAATCCGAAGTAGGCTCCAGGCTCTGAGCTGTCAGCACAGAGTCTGATGCGGGGCTCGAACCCACAAACTGCGAGATGATCATCTGAGCCGAAGTCGGGCACTTAACCGACTGAGCTACCCAGGCGCCCCCAAAGTGTTCTGTAGAAGGCCAGAGTCTTAAAAAAAAAGTTTCCATGATGAAAGAATTCAACCCATAAAAATTGTTCTGAGTGAATTCTGCTAAGCTGGGGCAAAGGAAATCAGGGCTTCTCAGAGCCTTTAATACGTTAAGGAGCACTGTTAACTTCCTAAGAGCGGCTAAGATTACGGTTTCTCCAACCACTCTTAGGGACACACTGATGCAGACTCCAGTGCTGGTAAGCAAATGACACAGGTCCTGGGCCCCTGCTGGTGATC